GAGGGGATCCTTTGCCAGACTCGCAGTAACCTTCCCCCATGCTCGGGCAGAGCCCGCAGGCAGCATTTTTAGGGAGCCTCCCAGTGCACTGGCTGAGGGGTTTGGTGGCTTTGCCCTGTCTCTGAGCAGCCCTGATGCTTTGCAGAAGACGGCAGCCTCTTGCTGTTAGCCCTGCTCCAAAAGCTCCCCAGCCATTGCCTCCTCCACCATGTGGTCTTTATCTCCTTCCCTGGGCAGGGAGCAGAACGACACCAAGGCCAAGCAGGTCTTCGATGAGGTTTCCAAGGCCATTGGCGAGTACCCTGTGGACTTCCGCGGAGCTCGGATCCTCACGGGGAATGAGGAGGGCTCCTTTGGCTGGATCACCGTCAACTACCTGCTGGAGACCCTGGTCAAGGTGTGGGCTGGGGGAGAGGGCAGAGGGGGTCCCCCCCTCCCTGCTGTGTTGCAGTCTGGACTGGGAGGCTGATACCCTGTGGTCGCCCCGTGCCGGGCCCCCATGGGTAACTCCCGGTGCTGGGCAGTGCTCCTTCACAGGCCAGTGGACCCACCCGCCGGCAGAGGTTGTGGTTGGAGCTCTGGATCTTGGTGGAGCTTCAACCCAGATCACGTTCCTTCCCGAGACCACCATAGCTGACAGCAGCACGAGAGCCCTCCTCAGGCTGTACGGGACCAACTACTCCATTTATACCCACAGCTACCTCTGCTATGGGCAAAAGCAAGCCCTGAAGATGCTGATGGCATCCTTACACCAGGTAACCACTTCCAGCCTTGTGGTCTTCTGCTGCAGCCTGAGACCCAACCTCACTGGGTTGGGCAGGCAGCACCCATTGGGTGTGACGGCTGCTGGGCTCGGTGCCTTTGAGCAAACCCCAGTGAGAATGGCAGATACAAGTGGGCCACCACGGCAGGAGCCATCCCAGGGGTGTCCTGACAGAAGGGCAGCATTGAGGTGAGATGGAGATGGATACCCCAAAGCAGGATGCCCAAGCACAGGTGCTGCTGGGAGGGTGGGTGCCCAGGGCCCCTGTTCCAGGGCCATCTTGCTCACCAGATCTCCATCCCTGTCCTGATGGAGGGGCTGTGTCAGCCCAGCCCCAGTCACAGCTCTGGAGGAGGGAACCTGCTGGGTGCTGGGAGGTTGGGGAGACCCAGCAAGATTTTTTAGCACCAGTATGGTAATGAATAAGCTGGTTTTATGGATAGAAATCTGACCGTGCTGGTCTTCAGTAGACGCTGGGCATGGGAGAGTGGAGGGAGGTGGTGTTGCTGCACAGGGGGTCCTCATGTCCACAGCTTGGCTGTGGGGTTAGGGCTCAACGCCAGCTCGTGCTGGTTGGAATGGGCAAAAGACCATGTCCAGAGCACCTTGCAAAGAGAAGCCAGTGTCTGTTTAGTTTTGCTTAAATTGTTTCTCAGCCTTGGTCTCCTCTGAGTCTGGTGACCCTACAAAGGAAGAGTGGGGATGAAATGAGTCCACGCTCAGCACAGGGTGCAAACCCCCAAGGCCTTGGGCATGCGACCATCACTGTAGCTGATCCCTGACCATAGTGTGGTTGTGCCATGCTTGTTGCCACGATTCTGTGCCTGCATCCCACGGACGAGACCCCATGGATGGTGGGGCCAGCATCTGGGTGTGGGAACAGGCACTGTCTGTGGGCTGTTTCTCTCCTTTCCAACCTCATCCTCAGTGCCAGGGCAATGCTAATGGCTCCTGCTCTCTCCAGGGCAGCCCACCTTCCCAGGAGATATCACACCCCTGCTACCCCAAGGGATACCAGGAGAACATCACCACGGCAGACCTCTACAACAGTCCCTGTGTCCGTGCACCAAGCACGCCCAGCCCTGCACAGGTCCTCAGGGTGACAGGCACAGGGAACCCAGCCGCGTGCAGCACTGCCATCCAGAAGCTCTTCAACTTCAGCTGTGGGGCCAACAGGATGTGCGGGTTCAACGGGGTTTATCAGCCACCTGTGCGGGGACAGTTCTTTGTAAGGAGCCTCCGTCCCTGCAGCTGTGGTCGGGGTTTGGGGTTTGGGGGCACCACAGGCTGGTCACAACCCCAGGAAAACTGCTGTAGGAGAGAAGTCTGAATAGTGCCGTCCCTGAAAGCTGGGATGTGCCTGATGCATGGAGATGTGCAGGGTGCTCACCAGCATGCTGGGCAGAGCCAGACCTCTGTGGTCATGGCACCACAGCACATTCGGTGTGGGGAGCAGTGGGTGGGCAGCATTGCCCTGGCATGCTGCGAGGTGGCCTTAGGGACCCCTGCAGAGCACCCGGAGGGAGGGGCGGGGGCTTGGCAGTGGCCCGGGTGCTTCGCTAACCTGCCACCTTTGGTCTTCAACACCCACAGGCCTTTTCGGGGCTTTATCACACCTTTCACTTTCTGAACCTGACTGGAGGGCAGTCCCTGAGCTCGGTCAATGCCACCATTGGGCAATTCTGCAACAGCAGCTGGCAGAAGGTGAGGTCCTGCCTGAGAGATGCCAGCCCCTGCCCACGTTTCACCTGGGTGCTGGGCAGCCTGGGGGCTCATCCGCAGGCCATCCATCTTCTGCTGCGCAGATGGCAGCTGGAGGGAGCTGGGGGGAGCAGGAAGATCTCTGGACAGGGAGAGAGATGGGAGAGCAGCCTGCAGCCTCCCAGGTCCTCCTTGCTCCCCAAGCCCAGGCACCTTCCCCAGCTGTGCTGTGGGGCTCTTCCATGCTTCCATGCTGCTCCATGCTGGCAGCTCCTCCCCATGCTCTTCTACCTCTGCACGTGCAGAAGGATTTCCCCACCATGAACAGGACCCACCTCCGCGACGCCTGTGCCAGCAGCTCCTATGCCCTCACCCTTCTCCTGCAAGGCTACAAATTCAACGACACGACATGGCTTAATATCCACTTTGTCCGGCAGGTAGGAAGGTGCCAAGCAGCCCCCAGCTTCCATGCTTTGTGCCGTGAAATGGCTTGCACCTACCCTGCTGCTGCCCCTGCCCTGCCTGGAAGGGGGAGCAGGGGATGACGGGGCAGCACCCCTGTGCCCGGGGCAGCTTTTGAGTTACGCTCACAGGTCTGCTCTAGCTGTCTGGCTTGCATGGCCCTTTGCAGCCTTTCACATCCCTCTTCCTTCTCTGTCTGCACAGGTCACTAACGTAGATGTGGGCTGGGCTCTGGGCTACATGCTCAACCTCACCAACATGATTCCCTCCGAGGCTCCCCCGAGAGTCATAGGGCTCCAGAGGAGCAACTGGATAGCAGCCACGGTTTTACTGGCCATCATGCTCATCCTCATCTTCTGCCTGCTCACAGTCATATGCTGCCAGAAAAACTCTGGTTATGAGAGGCTCTAGCAGCGCTGGCTCCAGAGGCTGCTGCAGCCACTT